CTCCTGACTCCTTAACAGCGCCACCATCGAGGAAGCTGCGGGCAGCATCGCCTGCTCATCCAGTATGTCCTTTAAACACATTCAGGACCTCGCAGGAGAGTCTGGGAAGTGCGAGGTAGAAAGGTGACTTTCAATCGTGTGGAGGAGCTGCCGGTCCCTTGGGCTGCGGGCCGGAGAAGTAATGAAGACTCTTGGGAGGCCCATGCTCTCCAAGGTGACCTCAGACCATGGCCCCAAGTCTGCCTGCAGAGCTTTTACATTTTCAGCCCAGCAGAAATGAATGCTTCTTACAAGGGCTGCACTGTCTGTGTGCCCCCCAGGAATCAGACTGTGGTCAGCAGGACTGTCCAGCGGAATGTGTCGCCAACGAAGGCTCTCGGGTGGTGTTTTCAGCGTCGGCCCTTCACGTTAGTTTTCCTTCACGCCCAGGCCTTTATGTTACACTCACTGGAGCTGGTCCAGTCTCTTTGCACCCGTCTCTTTCGAGTAAACGTGTCTCAAGCTTCCGCCCTCTTTGAGCTCTTCGCACCCGATCCGTCCCGCCTAACGTTCCCAGTTGCTTCTTTATTCGGTTCTGATTCTTTATTCGATTCTGATTTGGAGGTTTTCCTGCCTTTATTTCTTCGCACATATTTTCTATTTCCTCTTTAACTCTCTTCCATTGTCTGTGTTCAGCTAACGACGACCGAGAACCTACTGTGTGTGCAGCATTAAGGTGGGAGGATTGAATGAAGCACAAAGGATGTGTTTTTTCAATTATCTAATGATTTAAAGATATTTTAATCCTGTGATTGAGCCATGATAATTTCTATTTGTCCCACTTATTAATTTACCTTACTCCATTTTTGGCTTCATTAAGTCTCGTGCCCAGTTGACCTGATGACAGTGAATAAGTTAGGACACGCATGATTTCTGCTTGAAGCAGCTGTCCTCATTTAAACACCTACGTGAACTACTTGCTTCAGATGTTGAGTTACTTGGATTTGTTTTCTTTTTCACTGCTGTATTCACCACATCAGACCTAAATCATTCATAAAGCGATGCCTTATAAACGTTTGTTGAATTTATGGATATGGAAGGAATTCTGGACCTTTTAAAACTGAAAAGTAACTGGATTTGGGTTTGAAGTAATTTTTAACTTTATATATGGCATCTCCACTTCTTAAAAAATACTTTAAATATCTTTATTATGCTTTACATTTTTAAAAATAAATAATTAAATTATAGTCTTTAGGAAGCTTAGCTTTAAGGGTTGGGAATGAAAAGATAGTTGTTGTTTTAAATACATGCTTGTTGATGCCCACAAGGTCATTTAAAGTGAGTGCCTGTCTGTCCTCTTGTGAGTGATGCCTCGCATGCAGCGTGCGGAGCCCAGGCCCCACCCAGTCACTCCTGGTGGGGACCTTGGTCAGCGGCCCACTGACTCTGTGACTTGGAGCAAGTTATAGTCCTGTCTGTCTCTGCTTCCTCGTCCTGAGTCTGTAAACCAGGGATACCGATTTAGCAGACCTCACGGAATTGTTTTGAGGGGTAAACAAATTAATATTAACAAAGTGCTCGAAACGGGCCCAGGTGCCTAACAGGTGCCAGTTAAGTTAAACATCCAGCGCCTGCCTCCGATGACAGCTGTGAAAGCTAACTGAGATATTTGTACATCTCCTAACAGTGCTTGGGACCTGGTGAAGCCTCGATCAGTCTTTATATTTTTTCATAACGGAGACATTAAGATATCATGTCTATTTTCAAAGATTTTAAAAATAAGCACACGTAGAACGAGAACAAGTGAGTAATGTGGTCTGTGACAGGCATCGTGACACCCAGACAGCAGAGAAAGGGGTGTCAAAGAAGGGTCCCTCGGGGTGGGGGGCCAGCCGCTGGCCCAGAGGCTGCGGGAGGGGAGGGGTGAGGGAGCAGGCTGTCCAGGGGAGGGGGTGGGTCCCAATCAGCAGGGGGGTGCCCAGCCGGTGGCCCGGGGAGCCTGCTGTCCTGGGCGACAGGTGCCCTCTCCACGGGGTGTCGGGCAGTGTGCTCTCCAGGGCGCCTGCTTGCTTCTCGTTTGGGGGCCCTGGTGGCATTGCCTCATGTCCCCGTGCACATGCTTTCCTGCGCCTGCTGGCTGGGGGTCCCTTTCGTCCCTGCTGGGTGCCCTTTGGCCTAGGACTTTACTGCTAAGCTTTCAGAACGCTCTCTTGAAATTGCATTTCTCCTACGGGACGGCCGTGCCCCACTGAAAGCTTTTCCTGGAAGGAAATGTGGAGGGACGAAAACGTCCCTCCGAAGTCCTGTCAGCGGGCATTTCGTGGCCACCCGTCTAGCGCGTGAGCCCTTGTGTGTGCCCTGCTTCCTCTCTTGTATTTTCTTTGGACTAGAGTAAGTTGTCACTTAACAAACAACAATGACAATGGGCCGGACCCTGCCAGTGGTCCAAGGTCACTGAAATCCCGTCAGTGCGTAGACTCGCTCCGAGCTGCCAGGCTCTCGGGCCTCTGAGGGGCGCAGCTTGTGCTCGGGGCTCTCGGGCTCAGTCTGGCTTTCCAGAGGCTCAGCGTGTGACGACCGCCTCTCCGGCCGCGGGCCTGCTGCTTTCCCGTTTCAGCTTTGGAACGACCAGTGAATCAAGGGTTATCAATTTGGACACCTGGAACCTTTACTCAGAGGTTTGTAAAAAGAAGTAATCACAAGGAATTGGTGTTTTTGAACATATCTACATGTGTGAACGAAAGGGCCCTGGTCACAGAGCATGCCGCGTTGGCTGATGAATTTGCTGCCTCAAGTGGGACTCTTCCGTGTGAAACTTTATAAATATTATATACATGTCAGAGATTATCTCCAGAAAATTAAGAAACAAAAGGCTCTAGTAGTTTTAAAGAGTGAATAAAGGGAAGACATGAAATTGGCAACTTTGTACAGTTGAACTCAGTAAGTGCTAATATTAGCTTATTAGAATGATATTTATTAAAGATTTTTATAAGAATTTCTATAAGACTCTTCGATACTCTTCTTTTAGCCCTCAGACGATTAAAAAAAAAAAAGTGGGAGGAAGGTGTCTTTATCGGATTTCGACTTGCTTGACGTTTGAGCGGTCTTGTTAAACCTTCGGACACCTTCCAACAAATTCTGACAACTCACTGGCCAATTTCTATATACACGAAGTGGCTCCAGAAAGTGGCATTTACTAAGTCATGACGACGTGCTAGCTTAGTTATGCTAACTCATTTACACCTCGCCACGTGCCCGCGCAGCGGTCAGTATTATCCCGATGCGATAACTGAGGGAATGGAGGCTCAGAGCGTAAAGACGAGCGAGATGCCCAAATGCTCTGACCTGGGAGGCAGAGCTGCGCGAAGCCTCCCCGAGTGCCCAGGTTTTTCCGTTTGTGGCGGCTGGCGTGGGACAGTCTCTTCCCACTTATCCTGTAGTCCTGGATGGTCACGAGTTTTCAGATTTGTTCAACTGTAACCTACATCCCAGTTATGAAATCTTTAACCTACATCCCAGTTATGAAAACGGAACTTAGGTCCGATGTGCTTCTTTCAAAGAGTCACCCAGTGTCTGACATGAACATTTCACAAGATGCGTTCCGCGACCCAGGAAGACGAGAGAGCGCAGAGTTTGAAACCGCGGTTTACCCGACTGCTTCGGCACAGGGCTTCTTTGGGCGTTGGATGTGAGCCCTGACTCTGAGGGGAGGGTGTCACCGCTGTGGTTTCAGCAGCTGTTTATTCACGGATTCATTCATCCTTTAGTTTTGGTAGAATAACTCAGAGGATTTGTCATCTAGGAAACTGCCCGCCTTAGTGTGTCATCTTGGGCCAACCGCTTTATCTCTTTGGGCCTAAACTTTCTATTTTACAAATGAGACTAGAGATATTTCAAAGGTCCCTTTAGCTTTAAAAATTCTATGATACAGTTCTCCTCACCCCCCATCCCCAAACCAAGTCTAGGCATTTGTGCTACCAGGTGAACTAGCTGAAGATAGAATAAGATTTTCCGAAAACCATTCATTCATTCATTCATTCGCTCATTCACATATGAAACATTTATCGATTGCCACGCACTATGCCAGGTTCTGAGGATAAAAAGACAAGATGCAAATAAGACCCAGATACACCGTCAGCCCTCAGGGTGAGGGCCTGATATGATGACACACTGCAGTGAGATTATATACTTGAACGATGATAACGTGTAGAGAGAGAGCAGCAGAAACGTGCAGAGACAATACAGACGCGTACGAATGGATGACTATAAAACAGCTTAATAAGAGAGCATGGAAACGTTTGTAAATAATAAAGACTCATGGAGGACCTGCCTCCACCGTGCAGGAGGTAGGTAAGACACTCCTGTCTGTGTCTTCAGGGGTGTGGGAAGGGCAGGTGCTCCAGGGGCCACAGGAACAGAAACAGCATGGGGGGTGCAGCGTAATGTTACGTGTGCAATGCGCAGTGACCTCCGAGTGTGGCAGTTGCTAGAATGTCAAGTTTAAGGCAAGGGAGGATGAGCATAGAGCCGTTTTTTGTTGAGGGGAAAATGCACACAGGACCATCAGTTTAGATTTTTTTTTTTTTTTTACCAGTAGTATAAAATGTCATTAAAATATTCTTTTTACCAAATCGTTAAAACTGGAATAGGCGAATTTAGAAGATCATAAACCCGCTGCGAACTTCATCTGTGCCAGTTGTTCAGAGCTCTGCTAAACCTTAAGCCCAGGAACTAGTCTTCACATTCCCGTTGCCCAGGCGAACCGAAGCCTCTCCTGAGTGGCTCTGACCGTTTCTTTTTGAATGCCCCACAAAGCGGGTTACAGGAGGACCTTTCTGCCGGGTTAGGAATGGTCTGCAGAAGACCTGCCTCGCACAGTCCTCGTTTCGCAGAAGCATGAGCTGGAGCCCCACACTCTGCAGCTCTACCCACAGGTGCTCCAGCTGCTGGATGGAGGTGGCAGGAACCTTACGGGGAGAGGGGGCGATGAGAAAGCGTGAGCACAGGAAAGCATCACTTACCGGGCTCTTGCTGTATTTTGTGGTCGTTTTTGAACCAGGTGAGCTGAGGCTCGGGGACGCCGTGAGCGTGGCAGTCTAGGGTGGTGGAGCTGCTGGCGGCCACGGTGTGGTCGCTGAGGTTCCGCAGGAGGCGCGGTGCTTCCTGACCTAGCGAACAAAGAGAGTTGTCATGACTCGTCAGCTTCCTTCTCTTCTCGTCCATGCACATCGACATTTGAAATTTATATAGAAACAGCAAAGCTCAGCCGTAAGGTTTCATTCGTAATTTTTTCCCCTCAATTTCTCTTCTATGGTTAACCTCCCGCTTCCTCTTTATTAAGTTGGTATAATAAATTGAAAGTCGTTCGAACACAAAGTAAAATCAAGAACTAAGTTCCGTATTTTCAGATTTCACTACCAAGGTTTTTGCTTGGCCAATCAGTGTTCTTTCTTTTTTTTGAGAGAAGCTTTTCTAAAACCTAAGGATTTTGCATCATACTTTAGGAACTGGACAGGAAAGACATGTGGGGTGTAGCTTTGCAATGACTTTTTCTATAAATAGATAGCATGGCGACGATGAGCTAACATGATTTCGTAAGTGTCTGTATTGTCGTGTTTGTGAAGGCAGTTTGTGTTCCTCAGCTGTCAGTAACCTAAATCGTAAGGTCACAGACCAAACAGGAGAATTTTTTGAACTTTGAAAGCTTTATTGATTCTTTCTTTCTTCCCTTCCCGTACCAAATGCAAGCCACCGAAGGGTTCATTCAAGAGGCAGAGGCACAGATTTGCGGGTTTTGCACTATATAATAGTACAAATATTGTATTTTATATTATTTTCTCTTAAAACATACAAATATGATACAATACAATTTATTTTAATAAAATCCCAACTCATGTAGTACAACAAAATGAATTTAATACATTAGGATGCGGTACGTTACAACATTAAAATCCCACGTCCAAACAGCAGTACCCCAGGGCCCGTGTGAGGGGTGTCTACCGGTCAGTCCTGCTGATGTGTGTACATTCTAGTTAGGCGGGGGTGGATGGGTAGGTAGCTCGAGCTTCCAAGGGGAAAGAATAAAGGAATGATGTCTGTCCCACCCTCCCAAATCGTCCGTCTGCCCCTCGTAGCAAACCCTGGAAGAGAAATGAAACGGTTTGGGCATGACTTACACACTCTGCGTCACTGGTTTCAGTCACACAGTACGAGCTTTCTCTGACCATTTCTGACTCCCGTCTTATTGTCCTAAAGCTGTGAAAGCAGCTCAGGGGTGATTACAGCACTACAACAGGTGACACATGGCTCTGCTTCCGTGCCCCTGCCGCCGTCCTGCCGGGTCCCCACACCTCTCTCTCTCTTTACTCCTGCAGGAAACTCTCAGGATTAGCATTCATCGAAGCGATTTAGAGCTCTCCGGTTAAAGTGTATTGTCATGTAACTTATAACATGTGGATGTAGCGTAACAGGGCAGGGTTACTACCTGTTAGGAGAAACAGATTCTCATTACATTTTGATTTCCGTAGCTGATCGTTCGTCTTTCCTCATTCCGTACAAAATGAACTCTGAAGGCAAAGGAGCATGTTGCCGGAAGCGCTGTGGTTCCGGAACTCTCCAGACAGCGTGTGGAGTGGACGACAGCGCCGATCGTCTTGCCTGCTTCGCTCTCTTTCCTACTCTGTCTCACCCCCGGGCAGAAGTGCTGTAATATTTCTGCGTTTGCATCCTGCGCAGTCTGTCAAATAGCTTTTCCTAGTGGAAACTGCAGCCATCTGTCAAGTCCTTCAGTTTGATAGCTCTTACAGTGGCCGTGGCAAGCCAACTCCGACATGTCTCATTTAAAACTCCGTTCACCGAGCTACACTGTAACAGCTTCTCTGAGCACGGTCACTGTTTCCCACGCACTGAGAGTGACCAGATAATCTGTCACTGCCCACAGGCCTTGTGGTACAAGGGAACTCTGAATGTAGGGCCCGCAACACCCAGCTCGTTTTCATGGCTGCAAACTAGGGTCACCAACACAGGAACACTTTAACGTAAATGTCACGAAGAACTCCCACAGGCCCCGTCTGTCCTACACAGACTTCAGACCAGAGAAGCAGCAGAAAGCCCACAGAGTTGACCCAGGAATCTCAAACACACAGTTCGTATAAACAAGTCTGAAACATATGGTATTATGATTTTTTTTTCCTTTGTGTCCATTTCTGAAAAAATGTTCTCCTATGAGAAAAGTCTCATTTTTGGCTAGTTTCTAAATGACCAATTAACCAAGGAATCATTTTATCAGTTTCCAGTCTACACTTTTTAGTCATCTATTTTGGTTTTTAGATAAGGCAGGAACATTGAGCCCCTGTTTTTGAACCTGTTATTTAATGGAAACAGGTAGCTGCTTTCCAAACATAAACAAGGTGGGGCCGATCCCTTCACACAGAGAAAATCAGGAGCGACAGAACATTCCTGCCGTCGTCAGTGGCCACAGACAGCCCCCCGCCCGGTCGCCGCTTCACTTTTCCGTGTCAGGCCCAGTGTCCCGTCCATGGGTTCCCGTTCTCCACCTGGAACGGGGGCCGAGGAACCAGCCTCATGCCCACTGCTCCATCTCCCTCATCCACACTGGGCTCTCTTCCTTTCTCTTTTTCCCAGTATCCTCCCCTTACTCCACACCCAAAAGAGTAACTACTAAAAAAAAAAAAAAAAAAAGGTTTTCTTTTTGGAACTGTCCAGAAGGATTAATTACACAGCAAACAATCGGTTACAGAATTCTTAGAATCTTCTCCTGTAAATATGAGCACCCTGCCTTCCCCTTCCCCACGAAAACTGCAGTTTTAAGGGGAAGGAAATGATAAGATTCTGCATGTCCAGTCCACTCCCCAAATCAGCGGCTGGTTCGGCTCTCATAAAAATGGAGGCTTCCCCGTTCTGCAGTCCCGAGGCCTTGTTTCCTGAAGGAACACGCTGGCTTATAATGAACAAAGACGCCAGGCACAAGAGCCATAGGTAAAATTTTGAGATACAATTGATAATTCTTTCCTTTGGGCTGACAACTTCCAGGTTGCTAATTGTTTTCAGAGCTTTCAGGGGCTCTGGAAATGGTATTGTTTACTCTTTCACACTTGACAAAAGCAATTCCCACGTGAAAGACAAGTTTAGCCGTGGGACAGAGTCTGCTACCTAAAGTAGGAAACGGCCTAGAGAGTTCCCAAGCCTGGAAGGTTGTCATTGTCACCTCCTGTTGAACGGCTCAGCCACTGTGTTCTCAGCCGTACTATTTTGGTCATTATAGTTTGTTTTCCAATAGTTCATGCAAATCCCATATAATGATCAATCATAAATGAAAACAACAAAACAATGCATATTAAATTGGTGAAAAAGGTCACTTTGCCCCCAAATGCAAGTTTAAAATAAGAGATTATGGTCTCTCTCGATTTAAAAATGGCGTATCCATTTTTCAATGACTCTGAATTCTGCTTCTGTAGTTTTGCCATTTCTTAATCCCCACAAAAATCCTATTAACACAGGCTTATGGAGAAAGTGGACTTTTTTTAGTGGACAGATTATAGATTTACATTTAGAAGAATGCGTTAAATCTCTGATCATAATAGCCTTTATTTCCTTGATAATCGATTGTGGTACACCTTTGAATGCCATCAATTAAACAGGATAAAGTTCTTTAAAAGAATAACCAGGGGACACAAATATTTAAAATGAAGGCGTGACCCACTTTCTTTCAGGGGCCGTCACTCATCTGTTCCGTCCACTGAGGCGGCGAGGAGGACACCGCCCCCTGGACTAGCTACCTGGAATTGCACGAGGGGAGGGAAGCGGGCTCGATTTGGGTGGATCCTCATGATTCATACTGCGATAAACCCTTCATACCTCTGAATTACACCAACATCTTGCACCCGGGGCCCATTTTAGAAGCTCCAGCTTATTAATGTGCTTAATGTGGGAAAAAAAAAAAAGCATTTTCAAATAAATAAGCGTTATAACTTGCTATCCAGGTGCTATTTACAAATCAAGAGCAGATGAAACAGTACAAAATAAACCCAGGCAGAGGTCCAACAGAGTCTCAAATTCAACTGTACTCATTCTGAGCTGGAAAGTTAACTTATTCATGTCCGTCTTTGGCAGAAACCAGCATCTGTTTAAATTATTCGGTTTGTGCAGCTTTGAAACTTAACAGTAAAAAGAGGTTGGCATCAAAGCGGAAGGAAAGGACCGGTTCCCAGTTGTTGTTTATCAGGCAGGAGAAGACAGCAAAGAGCAGAAGCACAGAGTGTGCCTGCGAGGTCCTCCAAATCCAGCCGCGCCCCCGGGCGCCCTTCGGCCTGGGGGGCCGGCGCGGGCCTGGGGCTCATTATTACTCTGTCATCTCCAAACTCATTTTGGGAGGAGCATCTCCTCTGGGCCGGAAAATTAGCAACAGTGACAATAAATCAAGATGATATGAGACAACTGTTACTTCTGAGTGAGTCCTTTAATGTTTGACATTACTTTGTGTGGTACAATCACTCCTGGTGCTCTTAAATTTGGACATCCGAGAGAAAACAGCCTTTTTGTTGCAGTGCTCACCTCTGATTGTAACTTCTTTCTTCTGAAGGATTTCTTCCCCTGTGAATATGTTCCTGGCTCTGCAGGCATAGGTGCCTGAAGCTTCCAGGGACACGTTCCTGATGACGAGGTCAAGGGTGATGGAGAAGGCCGTCATGACGGCCTGATTCTGCTTGCTGATGCTGTGCCACACGGTTCGGTTGCCGACCGTCCGCAGCAGGATCCACGTGACGTTTCCGTACAAGAACCGGTTCACCGTGCACGACAGTCTCAGGTCCTCTCCCTCCGTGGGCATCTTCTCCAGCGTAACGTGGAATCCGTTCGGCACATCTGTAAAAGAAGAAGAAAGAACATGAGTTCATAGAAAAACCGGCGTGTCACCCGGAGGCAGTCGGATCTAAAGAACCGTTCCTACTTGAGTTCTCGCGGCACCGGCCTCGGAAGGGTGACGACTGATCTTACTGTTTGAGGGGACCCGATAGAAGGCAGCAGGCGGGACCCCGCTCAGCCCCTCCCGCGGGGCAGGAAGCGCCGACCGGGGCAGTTAGTCCGGTGGACGTTTTCCTTACTCGCCCAGAATGGCTCTTTAGAGTGGAATTTGTTTTACGACTTGGGACGATAACCACGTTCCCCACTCCTTTATCACGTACAGAGCTACCACCGCTAAAAACGGGCAAAACAGCGAAGTAATAACAGCGATTTGTGCTGAAAACCCGAGGTGAACACGTGAGAGCAAGCAGTCCCAGGGGCACACCGGGGGCCGTGGGTCGTGCCAGCAGACGCCACCTTAACCCTCGGCTTTCCTAGAAAAAAGCAACCAGTCCCCCCAGTCTCCTGCAGCCGGGTTGACAGCATCCGCCTCCCGTGCTCTCTCTCCACTGTCCCTGCCTTCTGCCGAGCCAGAGGGCGGAGGGGACGGAGAAGGGCCAGCGTCCCTGCTCAGGCCCCCTTTCACGGTGACCGATCCACTCAGACAGAAGAGAGCGAAGTTCCTTCTGGAAATGCAGACAACTAACCCAGAAGAGCTGCGGATCCCAACGTGGGGGCAATGGCGGGCGGCGGGGATCATTTCCAAAATCAGATTTACTCCCCAAAGCTTATTAAACATTTTCTGAATGTGACTGTCATCAAAAGCCATCTCCTCTGACGTCCCTCCCTGGCTAACCTTCATCCCATCTCCTCAGGGCCTCTGGCGACCCCTCCCGAGCCCCGCTCCGCCGCCTTCTCCCCCTGGGCCACCGTTTGGCTTCCGCATGGGACTTGCCTTGTCATTCTGGACCATTTCACCAGGGGATTTAAAAAAACCATTGGCCGCTGGCCCTGAACTGACCTGCTCTCAAACCCCTCGCGTCGCTTGTTACTCGTGGTGTATCTGTATTTGAGCAAAGAATTTGGGCCAACATTTTACAAAGTACTTTGAAGATGAAAAGCGCTGTGTTATGCTATTATTATTATCCTTTGCGCACAAAGCTATAAAGAAACCTTTAAACCTTCAGGGGACAATAGTCCAAAATTAGATATCGCATCAACTCTTTCCTAAATCTCACTTTGCTTGTTTTTCTGATTTTTCTGGGCTTTGGCTTTATTATAAAGTGTCACGTCTGAAGAAATGCCAAAGTATTCATTTGAAACCTGGGAGCGGGGGTGACAGTGGCTTCTGGGGCTGTCAGTGGCTGGAGAGAGAGGAGGCCAGTGGAGGCTTTCCTGCTTTTAAAAAGAAAATTTAAGAATGTGCCAGAAGATGCAGAAGCCGCTGACAGTCGTTTTTAACATAACAATAAGGTGTCAGAAATAGCCCCTCTAATTCAGCATCTTTTTATATTTGGGACATTTTCCAAGCACAGGATTAAAACGCCAGCCATCACCTTTCACACAGATACTGGAACAGAAGTATTGTGCACTGGTAGCAATCAGGGCATTTCTTGAAAGACCACAGACTCCATTTACGAGGTCTCATCCTGGTACTAGAGCCCAAGGGAGCCCAAGCAACACCACCAAGATCATGTAGAGAGTTTCTATTTACTTTAGTGATTTGAAACTTCCTGTGGAAATAGCTCACAGGTTTCCTGATGGAAGATTTTGTTTATCTTTGCCAAGCACCACCAGGAATCTCAAAATAAAATGCATTTAGTGGCACTGGGAAACCAGGGAGATAAGGCAGCGCTGTTCCTGTCTCACCCTCAGTAATTGCTAACACACCCATCGTCATGCCGAGTGCCAGCACAGCGCAGCGCACACCCAGGGGAAGGACAAGACCCGAACAGGTTTCGAGGTCTGTTTCTCACACGGGGGACACTGTTGCCGAGGCAAATTCCGCGTCTGTCATCATGCGACAGCCTCTTACAAACGACGATGTCTTCTCAGGGTCACTCCATGGAAGACGATAAATAAAATGTCCTAAACGAGTTAATGAATCCAGAGGGACTTTTCCCTTTAATTCACGTTGATTTTTTTTTTTTTAGCCTGAGTACAAAAACAGACCCAAGAAAGAATTGCCTTCTGACTCTCCGAGTGAACACAAGAGAGCTTCCCACACTTCAGCGTCTCGCAGAGTCAGTGCGGCACCGCCAGCACCCACGCACCCTCATCCATCTGACACGTTCCACACGCGTGGCAGCTCACGCGGCGTCAGGAGAGTGCTTCCCCCTACGCCTAGACGGTTTCACTTGACTGGTCGCACGTGCACGCAGTTCATGAAAGAGGCAGGCATAGAAATGACAAGGACGAAAGGCGTCCCACTTGTCAGGTGGAAATAGAGAAGGCTTCTCTCCTCCTGAAGAACGGAAGTAACGTTCTCTAAAAGGAAAGTGAGCGGCTACGAGGAAGTTTTGCTTTTCCAAGTGTAGGCGATGGCAGAGTTCAGAGGCGCAGCCATGGTGGGATTCCGGGGGCCACGGCTAACCAGCTTCCATGAGTCTGGAAAGCACCTCCAAGTACCGTATGTCAAGGCGGGGCAGCATGATTGAAATGCGGATCCGTAAAGATCCAAATCTAGATCTGGGCTTAAAGCGGTGACATTTTAGGTGGATCTTTTAAAGCACTGCCCGCACTAGGCCACGTATAACTGAGCACATACACGCTCATTTTTCAGAAAACAGACACGTAGGGTGCAACGTTCGGAAGAGTGTTCGGGCTCATCTCTAGTGAGAGTAAATCTCGTGACAAAAATTTGAGTAAGAAAAAGATAATAATCGGTTTAGAAATAATGTAAGCGAAAGATTTATCATGAAGCAAAACTAGAACTTTTCAGGCCGGGTAGAGAAGAATTCAGAGGCATCTGTGGCGGGCAGTGGGGGCTTGGCTGGCTGAATTCGTGCGCCGTTTTAAGATTCAGGCTCTTGAATTTCTAGAGGAAAAAAGGCGTGAGCTTCGAGTCCACATGTTTGCGTTGAATTCTCACTGCTCCTTTCTGGGGACAACCCCTGGGGTCTAGCAAGGTTTCCGCCATTCATTCCAGGTCCTTAACTGTATAAAGCAGCGGGAGGTGGGGGGGACATTGAGTCCAGCTGGCCATCGGCTCTGCCAGCTGGGGCCGTGCGGCAGCAGCAAGGCCAGGTGCAGGTGTACAACACAGCAAGGATGGACCCGGTGGGCTGGACGGGCTGGACGCTGGTGCTGCGGTTAGTGCTGGGCACCAGAGTCCCCAAGTCCGTCTGCAGACTGTCTCAGGTCTCCTGTCTCTCCACGCGTCTGTCCTCCGAGGTCTGACCCCTTGTCGCTGAGCACGACACTTCTGCGTCCCTGGGAGGACTGTTCGTGAGCGCTGTGGGTTGGACATGACGGCTGGGGAGACCATACACATGGGTGCATGGCACCCCTCGGGGTGGGATGGAGCCGGGAACGGGAAGGGAAGATAGGTGAGTCCAGTGCTGGGAGACGCGTGGGCTGTCAGGTCGCAGGGGGACTTCTGGCGAGCAGGCCGGCCCCCGAGGCACCAGGGTGCGCTCCATCCACATCTCCAGGCACTGCCACCCTCTGCCGTGGAACGCTGAGGGGCCCCGGGATTCCACATCTGGGCCTCACCTTTCGGGTCACCGTGAAGGTGTATTTGTCCCCAGAGACCAAACACATCTAACAGCTCGTTCGCTGGGTTTGGAACTTGCAGGTGATGCGGTGCTTGGTTTGGGGGCCTCCACTGGTGCTCTGGCCTTGGCTCTGCTGACATCCGAACCGCTCACAGGGTGTGGCCCCTCCTCACACCCAGGGTCCCCGCCGGCCCTGCTTCCTTCTCAAAGGCCCAGAGCCACGCTGGACGATGCACGTGGCTGTCGAGCACGTCAGGTGCGGCTAGTGCGACCGTAGTACTGGATTTCAGTCCATTTTATTTTAATGAATTTAAAATTTAAAAACCGAAGCAGTCTGATATTTTAAAAAATATCGATGACATGTTGAAATGATAATATTTTAGCTATAATGGGTGAAATAAAATTAATTTCATGTTTTTCTTTTTACTTTTTAAAACTCTGGATACTAGAAAACTTTAAATGATGGACGTGGCTCACGTTATATTTTTGTCGGACAGCGCTGGCTTACGTCGGTGATTCGGCTGTCACGTTACTTCTGCACATGCCTTTCAATACTAGCATCTGTGTCATTTAACCTTCTTCTTCGTTTCCTTGGTGTTAAAACCACGTCCCCAGGAAGACAGGACCTCGCTGCTGTCCCCACGGGCCCGGCACAGAGCCGAGCTCACCGTGTCAGCCGGTGACTGTTCAGAACGGAGCGGGATCACTCAGTGTTCTGGGCCCTAAACCACACAGACGGGCGCGGGTTCGGATGGCACCCCGTTCTCGGCCACATACACAGGACAGCACACATGTCTGTGCCTCGTCCGTCTGCGTCACCTGAGAAGCAGCCCCTGTGAAATGGCTCTCTACAGCCTTCTCGAAGTGAAGGGCTTTGCTGCTCGGAGTGAATGCAGACTTGGTTTCCTGCCCATGTCTCAGACGTGGGAGGACGGACTGATGTCCAGGGTGGCTCTGCTGTGTGCCTCTCACATCCCTTCCAGCTCTGACACTCTGAGAATCCACTCAGGGTGTCACCCACAGCACAGCTCCTCGGAGGCGTGGCCTGCTTGCCAGAAGCCTCCCTGTGACCTGAAAGCCCACGCGTCTCCCAGCACTGGACCTGCCTGCTTCTTTCTGGAGCGCTCCAGGCAGCTGCCACAGCCTGCCCCACACAGAGCGAAGTTTCCAGAGTGTTGGCAAACCGCCCAGGTTTCCTCAGAAACTGGGGGAGTGTGGAGCCAGGCAATTGTTTTTATACTTTGAGCTACTTACTTCCTTCCTGTACCCACGGAGGGACACAGAGAGTGCCATTTGTGTACCTTGAAAGTTTTAAGACTTGCAGAGACTGTCATATTTAAAGCTAAAAATTCTTAAATGTTACCAAAAATTAGCCTGTTAATTATCGTCAGTGAAGTTCAGGTCCAGGTCTTTGTGGCCTCATTTCCCAAAATGGTGAAATGAAGTTGTGAAACCATTAGCTTCTTGGTTAAAAATGGAAAGTCATCACATGTATTATAATTCGTTTCCTTGATTATTATTGAACAACTGTTGTGTGCCAGACCCTGTCCTAAGTAAGTGCTGACGGGAGTCAAAACATGAGCATGACCAGCTCCCACATTCACAGCCCAGCCTGGACATGCACGAATGGCTCTGAGAGAGAATTCAGAGAAGTCACTCTCTGGGAGACTCAGTGATGTAGAAGACCATTCCCGCGAGCAAAGGATGAAGGAACTCGAAGTGTAACAGTTCCATGGAACAGTGTTTGTTTTTTTAAATAAAAGTCACTCAATCTATAAAGTGATCAAGATTTGAAGAGGGGCCGAAGTCCCCAGGCTGTCTTGGTGGCCATAGGGCGTGTGACTTACCTGTGACATAAAAGTTTATGTTCCTCTTCACTGTTCCCACTTTATTGGAAGCCATGCAAGTGTAGATTCCAGGAATTCTGGACTCAGCCACGACCAAGGTGCTAGCCGTCTGCAAAAGTAAGGGACATTTTAGCTAGCGATAGGACCAAGAGCTATTTGAACATCCCAGAGTTCCTCCTGAGGGTCAGAGCCATTCAGACATCCCATTCATTCAGCAAAGCTCGTACCGCATGGGTGGTGGTTACCAGAAGCTCTCTCCGTGCCGAGCCCCAGCAAGAATGGAAAAATAACAGGAAAGCAGGTCCTCAGGGGACCGGGGGCTGTGACATCCGACTCGCATGAGGGTTTCAGGCTTATTTATCTCGTGCTGCTGGCGTGACAATTACAGACCTGAAGCTGGGATGCGGGACTGCACGTCCTACTCTGTGAGGTGGGCAGTTCTGCATCAGTGAGGACAGGTGAGGCCGAGCCCATCTTTTGTTTGGCTGACCTGAGGTCGTGGATGCACTTTGGGGACAGGAGCCTTTGCTGGTTGGTTCTACAATGGGCGTGTTAGGTGAGCAAGGACAGAGAGGAAGGTTGGCCGAACTATTTCTTTTATGTGCTCAAAGAACGTGGCATTGCAGCCCCGATGATGCTGACAGAGGCCAGAAACTCCTGACTATGACTGTTGCATGTGTTTGTGAGTTACTGAATTTCTCAGTCTGTCCATTCCTGATCTAGGAAATGAGGGTGTAAGTTATGAATTAACACAATATCGTTTCACTAGATTTTAGTGCTGCTATTTGAGAAATTAGCCCCTAAAGAAACACTAGGAGTCAAATTTGTGTGACCTTGAAAGCACTTTTTCAAACTGTGATGTCTCAAGAAGTAACAAAACAGATATAGCTTAACGGCTCGCATTTTACTGTCTTTTTTTTTTTAAGACAAAAGTTAGCAATACAGAAAAATTATTGAGTTTTAAAATTCAATTCAACCTTGCAAAAAAAGTAGTACATACTGTATGTAAAAAGAAAAAAGAAAAAAAAGAAAAAGCTAGTAAGGTTTTCATATTTAAAATTACAAAAAAAAATGTTGATCTAGTTATTTATAAATTGTTGCAGCCTATCTCCTAGGACACGAGTAACTGGTCGCAGGCTTTGAAATCGCAGAGGCTGTGCCAGTGAAGTATAATGATTGAGTGACGTGCAGACTAAAGTAACACACAGGCTGAAATGTGACTGGACTTTCTAAGATGGTGAACGCAAATCTGCAGAGGGTCCGAACATTCTTCTGAGCTGCTCAGTCATATGCCAGACACTTACGTTCTCACATCCCATTCAATAAATGAAAGTACTGCTGTGTTTATTCTACAGATCAGGAAGACTAAAAATATGCTCCTACTTATTTTAGCCAGCCAGTCCATTGCTCCAAATTCTGTCATTTTTGCTGTGGTTGGTGAATATTACAAGATGCTTCCTCTTCTGTTTGTTGGATCTGTTTAATTATACTGCCCATTGATCCTCTGTGTATTATTGAAATTATTGGAAATGAAAGTGTCTGCAATATGTGGCATTTTAAATTTAATTTAGCAGACATTTACTGAGTGTTTATCGAGGCATTGCCCAGATGTTTGAAGGCACAGACATGAATATGACACAATCTGTGTTCTTAACCTCGAGGGACTACTTTAAGTTGATAGAGAAGATGTCTCTACTCAAAGATCAAGTGTTATCCTTCTTTTGAGGAGCAACACACACACAAAGGCAAATCAACAGTGAAGAGTCTGGAGGAGAGCTCAGAGGTCTCTCTGCTTTGATTATTAATCTTTATAAGAGGTGAGAAATAAAAACAAATTCTGGATAGCCACTTCCTTTGAAGTCCTGCACCTACCACTCAAGTCATGGGAGAAAACGAAAGCAAGAGAGAAGCTCGTAGGTGGCAGCGTGAAAGGCAGTGTTAGCTGGTGGCAGCTGGAGGGACACACTAAGGCTCTGCCTGTTCCGTCTCGGGAAGCCTGGGCTGAGACACCTCACCCAGCGTGCGACAGGTTCGCACTCCGGGAGCACACGGCCAGGCTGCCGGCCCCTGTTGCCGCTCGCCTCTCTGCTGAGCACTGCCGTTCTGACGGCGTTAGCTCGCCAGTGTTTTCCTAAGGAGCTTCCGCAGAACCTTATTTAGATCCTCAGATTTAGTGTTGCTCGAGAAGCAGGTGAGAAACTCCCTTCTGCTTGGCTTCAGACTGTCTGACGTTCCGGACGGCGGGGCCCTGAATCTGGAAGTTGTTTGGATTCCTATTAAAAATTATCTTGGTTTCACTGAACTCAGAGCACCTGAGAACAAGAACTGGGTCCCACGCAAAAGAAAGTCATCAGATGTACACATCTGCCATACTGGGGACCTGCGCGGGCTGTCTGGGGGTGGCTACAGCCATTTTACGAGACTCCAGCACAGTCGGATAGCTCCGAAGCTGTCTGTGCTCAGAATGGAGTCAGGGTGCCTGGGAGAGAAATGAATCAGGCCTCCCGGTGATCCGTGGAGACAGGAAGGCATTTGAGTCTCATTCTGCCCGAGTGATCCCTTCCAAAACAAACACCTCCCTCACAGTCAGCCTGCCAGAACTCACCTCTCCAAAGTTTCTGTTACCATTGAACTAGAACATGACACAGATCGGGGTTTATACTGTTTCTTTGGTTCTGGGTCCCTTTTTGTGCCCCTTGCTGTGCACCAGATAGTGTGCAGGCATTATCTCGTTTAATCCTCCCTGGGCCCTCGGGCGTGGGTGTGTGACCCTGTTCTGCAGAAGCAGCAGCTGAGGTCACGGAGGTTAAGTGACTCACGCACAGATTCGCAGTAGCACAGACAGACCTGGGTCATCGGACTCCAGCGCCTCTGCTCCTAACTCTCTCCATAACCTGCATCTTGCCTTAAAACTCCTTACAGGTAATAGCTCAGCTCTCTCGGTAGAGTTCTGTCTAGTCCTTGAATTGGGTTTTTCCTCGAGAATACCTCCTTGAGTCAGCCCGGATAGGGCACATAAGCTAAACGCTACCGTGTACAGAAATTCGAGTTTCTTTCTTAGTATAGTATACAAGCTGCAAGCTGGTTTTCAATGGATATGGTGTGTATGGTTTGAAAATATGATTGATGAATGAAAAGTTATAATTAAAGAAGAAAATTTAGAAAGAAGATGAAACTTATATCCTATGATCAACTTTATTAAAACTTATCTGATGTCTAGAGTACTTCTCTTTTTCCAGAGAATATATTTTTAAATTATAAATGAAAACATTTTCATGAAAAACAGTCTGACCATTGAAGTATAAACTTTACAGAGTCAGAAAAAGGAGCTCAAGTGTGAGCCGTAGGTGAATATAGGACGGTAAGACTCAGTATAGGAGTCTTCTGAATTAAAGGGACAAATCCAAATCATAACCAAATATTATTGTTTCAAGGGAGGAAAAAAAAAAATAAAAATAGCTTAACAGTTGGATACCAAATACCAACTTAATACTTAGTAAGAGGAAGTGCCAAGAATTCGAGTTGCAACAAGTGCTTGAAATTATAATCATTTATTTCATAAGGTTCACTAAAAGAAATTCTCAAAGATTTATGCTTGTGTCGTTTCTATGATCAGTTTTCATTTGCCACAATTTTACCTTAGCTCTGAACCCACAAGTGCCTCTACTTGTCCTGCCAGGACCTCAACGATTTAGATATAAGAAACAGACTGTCAAAGTCCATTCCCTGGTTTATTTGTATGACTCAGGAACACTGATGCAAACCGTCGTCAGGTACTGTAAGTTTGGAAGTTATTCATATGCCTTCCTTCCTCCCTTTCTGCTCAGTATTAGTAATTCACCACTACAATATGATTTGAACCTCATGGAATAGAATAGATGGCATGATGTGTAATTCAGCTTAATTTCCAGCATCAGCTTGTAGAAAAAGCCTATATATAGAACAGTGATTGTAATCTCGGGATGTTTCTAATATAGTTTCCTTTTAAGTGTCTCAGGAAGAAATAAAATTAACCTAGGGTGGCACATTTGAACCAGGTGATGGAAAAATAGAACATGAGAAATAGAAAAAAATTAGGGAGTATGCGGGAAACGAAACACAAGCTGTAATTCTGTGGTCGGGCATTGACGCTCCTGTCTTCGACTGCCTCGTACAGTATACTTCCCAAAGTACCTCAAAATGATTTCAATGGAAACGTTGCTAAAATGTCAAAATTGTCAGGATTCTCCAGCCTCACAGAATTAATGCTGTAAGACATATTTCCTGTGTGTTTTTCCTCACACAGGGCCTTTTCTACTTCCCGTTCCATACCTCCAGACCCAGTAGTCTGGCCGCCCCATTTAAACAGAGTGAAACACCACGTTTGCTATTAACGACTCCATTGATGACTCACTTTTCACAATCTAGGCCAAAACTTGCCAGTAAGGAAACTGAATTATATTGTCCTCTGTGCTCTTCCTTGAATTACATGAAACAAAATAAAACAATGAAGCAAAGAAACAAACAAACAAACAAAAAAACCACAAAAAAACCCGCAAGCCCCTGAAATCCAGCAGATGCCCCAGTGGGCTTTCTGTCCCCTGGTCTGTGGGTGGTGCTGCTGGGTATGCCAGCCATGTGCCTGGAGGGAAACTGGGTGTTATAGTCTTAAATTGGGACTAAAAATGTACAGAACATAAAGCGATTTTAATTGTAAAGAAAAGACCCATGCAAATCATTCTGAAATAGCCAAACTTCCATCTGTCATCATCATATGAAAGGTAAATTTTTTTAGACACACAGAAAGGTAGGTACATTAATAGATGCTGAAAGTAAAAGAAGTAAATTCTTCTAAGTTTAGGACGTGAAATTAATAATTTAAAGTCTAATGTGTTACAGTTACAGCTGCTAATAGGACGTTATATATCTGTATACAGACATACACGTAGAGCAACTGTTTACAAAGCGTATTAAGTGTTTTTCATCGCTTATACTTGTTTAACAAATGGTCTTCATCGTATGTGATCTCAGTCAATTCGGAGAATTGCATTAGGGTCTATATGACAATCATCTTTGTAACGATAGGCAAATTAGATAGGAAAAATGTTATTAGCTGCATATTTTTGGAGGAGAGAACTCAGGCTCAGAGAGGTGAACTGATTCGTATGTGGTTATGCAGCATAGGAAGTGGCAGAGCTTGATCCCACTGCTCTAGACTGCTATGGGGCGGTACAAGTGCCAGCTGTGTTCAAGAGATGGAGAGTTAAACCTCTGTGTAACTACAGAATTGCAAGTCAGTAAATATGTTTCACGCCTGCCCGGGAGAGATCTGGAAGTTCCTTCATGTTGCCAGGTTTTGTTACTCTCCGCCCACTGGTTCTTAAACAGGTATTCAGCACAAAAATCAGGTTGCTCCTTCATGGTTCAGGCTCATCAGAAACCTCAATTAACTTTTTCATTTTCCATTTTCTTTTCTATTGTGTATTTCTGTGGCTAGGATACCAAAATAGGACTAGACGCTACCACAGAAATTGAGCTCATAAATTCTTGTTTTAATATCCAGCAATTATGGCCAGGAAGAGGCAAAATGAATTGACACAATCAATGGCATCTTGAGATTTTCTAGTACTTTGTGACAACTAACTTGACTTCTATTCTGAGGCAAATTCCTGTTTAAAAAAAAATGTGTCATCACTCAAATTAAACTTTAAAGTTTATAGAATTTCCTCTTTGCTAAATATTTCATTAAGCTGCTCTCCCATCAATAGCTACGCATCACGGAATGTCTTAAACTATTGTTCGTTTGTATTAGAGAAAAAAAACCATAAACTACTTACAGCAACTGCTAGTTGTAAAAACGTTTCCTAAATCCTTGACAAGTGATTGCTGATACGATCATGCCAGCCATCACCGTTTCAGTTAATTTCTCTATGGGCTTAGCTGGCACAGCACTGGGTTTTGGAATAGGAAAACTTTCTCGTTTGCTTCTTTGAGCTAACTGTCTAATCATCCCAGTTTTTATCTTTAAAATGGAGGTAACCGCACCACTCTGACCAGCCAAAGAATGATGTCGATATTAGCATATGCCGAAAAGTTTAACGTGATGAAGAATTTAGATGTTATTTGTTGTTATTGTTAAATCCTGCACGGAGAATGATGCCATCTACTCTGTCACCTTCAAATGCAAAGAATACAGCCGAATAAATAGATAACATAAGCATAACCACACTCAGGCAGAAGCATCCATATTAACAGACTACTCCAAATCGAGACATGCACGTGTAAACAGATGTTTCAGAAAGGGCTTATCTGATATGTTTTTCCTTTTTAAAGCATCACTACCCTGTGTCTGATAATAGCATATTTTTCAGTATGTTTTCCACTAATTCAACAGAAAAAAATGTCTCCAGGTCTTAGATCCACCAAGATTTGCCTGGTCCATAAGACGTCAGCTTTGCTGAGGCTCAGTAGGGGTTAGGAAAGTAGAGAAGGATGAGCACAGTGGAGGCAGAAAAGACACCTGTTAGACCCTGATTCTGTTGGGATGGGGGGGGCAAGTTAGAAGTCTCTGTGTTTTTTTTTTTTTTGAGGTGTAATTGGCATATAACATTATGAGTTTCAGGTGTGCAACATAACGATTTGATATTTGTATATGTTACAAAATGATCACCATTATAACTCTAGTTAACACTGGTCACCATATTTAGTTACACACTTTTTTTCTCGTGATCATAACTTTTAAGATCTGTTCTCTAAGCAGCTTAAAGTGTGCCATGCAGCATTGCTCCTGACCGTATTCCCCATGCTGTGCAGTGCATCCCAGGACTTACTGACTTTGTAACTGGAGATCATACCGTTTGACGCCCCTTCCCCGCTTCGCCCGCCCCCGCACGCTCTGCCTCTGGCAGCCACCACTCTGTTCTCTGCATCCACGAGCTTGACTTTTTTTTTTTTTTTGGATTCTGCGTACTGGCTGAGATCAGATGGTATCTGTCTTTCTCTGTCTGGCTTATTTCACTTAGTAGAATGCCCTCAGGGTCCATCCGTGTTGTCAAAAACGGCAAGATTTCATTCTTTTTTAAGACTGAATAATATTCTTTTGTGTATACGCACCATTTCTTTATCCACGGATGGACACTTGGGTTGTTACCATGTCTTGGCTACTGTAAAATAATGCTGCATTGGACAGAGGGATGCCTATGTCTTTTTGAGTCTGTGTTTTCATTTTCTTCAAATAAATACCCAGAGGTGGGATTGCTGGGTCATACAGTCATTCTGTCTTTAATTTTTCGAGACCCTCCATCCTGTTTTCCACAGTGGCCGCCCCATTTTACATTCCTACCAGCAGTGCACGAGGGCTCCCTTTTCTCCACGTCCTCGCCAACACTTATGTCCTGTCTTTTTGATAATAGCCCTTCTGACAGGCGTGAGGTATCTTCTTGTGGTTTTGATTTGCATATCATAGGTCAGGGAATCTGGAGATACTGTGTGTGTTTGTGCACCTCAGTGTAGTCAGGCTTTGCCCTTGCAAAGACAGGGAAAACAAGACAGCGTGTGCCACGGACACGTTTCACTTTAGCCTTAAGTCTTGTACTAGCTTTTGCTTGTCACCATCCCACTTTCGTGTGGCAGTGACTGTCAATCCTGGTTACGTGCTAGAAGCTCCCAGGCAGCTGTTAGCTCAAAGAAGAGGTTCAGATATAGCAGTGATTGGGAGAGCACACTAACACGCAGCCGGGGCTGACAGCCACAGGCGTGTTCCAGTGCCATGTTCAAGAGGCAGTTCCACCTTTTCCATTAGGACTGAGTCCTCATTACTTCGGAACTGGCGGTCAGCGGGGGACACCGCTATCTGAGTGGTCTTGGTGCGTCTCTCCATGAAGACGCAGCTCAGAAACTGTCTTCTCTCTGAATTTTTGAATGAGCATTTGAATTACATCTAGTTCTAATAACCCCAGACTTGGGAGCTTTGCACATGTTTTGAGAACAAATATCCCGATGCTTATTTTTACAAAGAATACCTTATTCTTTCCTTCTATGATTGCCGTGCGCTGAGTGATGCTCTCGATTCTGTTTCCTGTGTTGCTCTCAGGATCCAGCAAAAAGGACTCTTCATTATTGGAGCAAATGTCATACCTATTTTTAAAAAGAAAGTCAGTCGTCATTATGTTGCTTTGCAGCGTGGGCCAGCCTATGTGACAGGAGAGATGAAAATCATTGCGTAGGCTTTCGGATGACAAAGTCACACATTTTCTTCTTTTCCTTCGATCTTTTTCCCCAATATCCATCCTCCAAACTTAAAAATAACAAATATATTTTGCCTGATCTGAAAAAAAAAAAGCCTACCAGCGTATCCTATATATCCTTCCTGTTCTAAATGTTAAATATGAAATAAAAATGCATCAATTAGAAAATTTGACATATAGATTTTAATTAGTTCCTAGTGGAGGAAACATGCAAACAGAAAAAAACGGTCTGTTAATGAATGGAAACCTCGAGGAAATAATAGCATTTCACATCTATGAAAGGCCAGCTTTTAATCAGAATATTCCATTATTCCATTAGGAAGCTCATTTTTTCCAGGGCTAATTAAATGTATATGGAAACACATCAGTGAGCAGTTCTTAAATTCAGTCTGTTTCTTTTTGAGTTTTGGGCTATCACGGCAAGCTCTTTAACCTCTCGGGCCTCAAGTGTTTAATTATAAAATAAGGGTGTCAAAGTCATTTATCTTTTAAGATCTTTTTTGTTTCTAAAAGTCCTCAAAATCTCTCTTGTTATGTTAGACTAGCTACCCAAGTACCATTTTAAAGAGATATTTTGACCTATATCTGGAAGACAGCGTATTCTCAGATACATGTTATCAAGCTTCTGTTTTCACATGGTTTACTACTCAAGTCATGGGTGTAAATATTTGCTGATCATTTGTTATATCTTAAGTATCCTGTGTTCTACATGAATAAAAAATCCTGACATCAAAAAAGACACTTAAGTCCACTCCGGCCTGGGCAATGCGGTGGTGTCCAGCACCCACCAGGCAGCGGCTAAACCAGTCCCTTTTGCTCCCACACCTTCAGCTACTGGATTGAGGGAAGCCCGGGCTTTCTTGTCTGATAGTCCAGGCCATCCACGGGCCATTTCCCTGCCTGCTCTTCCAACCTGAACCCCACAGAAACCATAGTCCAGTCAGGCTACAGTTCGATGATTAGTTCAAAGAGTACCGGACCAGGAGTCAGAGGGGACACAGGTCCCGCCCTGACTTTTCCTAGTCATATGACAAGTTTTCTCTTCTAAAAAATAAGAATAAAAACATGTCTGCCTTGTTAATCTCACAGGATTATATAAGCATTACACGATTTAATTCACTTAGGGTTTGTGAATTACAGATGCCATAGAAAAGTAAGGAATTGTTTTCCCTGTATCTTCCTGCATGCCGTATGTGCCCCGAGCCCGCCACCATCGTGCATTCAGTCACCACCCACTGGTCACCCCCCCCACACCGCAGCCTGGCCTTCTCTAAGCAGCTTATGGTCACTGCAGACCCTCATTGCTCTCGCGATCGGAACCACTCCGTGAGCCTTGACAAACTCTCCCTTAAAACACTCCTTGAGATTTAAATATGGATTTCTTTGAGACGCAGTGCACGTATACAGAGAAATGTTTTAGGTGCCTCAAACACGTGTCTGTGGGCTGTCAGCCTGAGCAGGTGAGGAAGGACGGGTGCCCACGGGAGCCCGGCTTCGGCCCCTGCAGCCACCCTCAGCCATCTCTCCCCAACCTGATTACCTTATGTGCTGATTTTTATGCTGACATGCATGAGACCATTTCTTTGAAGCATTTTGTATTGGAACCTTCTGGACTAGAATTTGTGGTGAGCAGAAAGCTTGCTGGTTCTAATTTATGCGTGTCTTGGGCAGATTCTGTAGATTTTGAAACCGAGAGAAACTTTAAAGCCCAGTACGCAGAAAGAAGGAGGGGTTGAGCTTAAGCAGCCGAGGGGAGGGCGGAAAGATGGGGGGCGCGAGGCAAAGGGAAGTCGGAAAGTGCCGAGTGGGTCGCAGGCAGCTCCGCGCTCGTCCCTCTCCTCCCAGGCCTGGAAACCACGTGGCCTTCGCCAAGTCTCCCCTTCCGGGCGCACACCCCATTAGGCCCTCCCCCGTAGCATCCCCACTCTCTAAGTTTGCATTTAATGCTCCCAAGGCCCCGCTGGGCTGGCAGCCACAGGGGGACAGGGGCCACATCTGTGGAGTAGCTGTCCTCACAGCTCAGCAAGGGCCGAGTGGGTAACTGGCACTCCATCAACGTGTGGAAGCACACACACAGGCGTGGGGTACTGATGTGGTGTTTCTAGTAAGAAACAAGTTTTCACCTGTTCTAATAATTTATTGTGTTCACACATACCAATAGACATAGTGTCATAAACCCCCATATGCCCACCACCCAGATCTAACAGTTTTCCAGATCTTGCCATATTTGTTTCATCTATACTGTATACCTTTTTGTTTTTTTCTTTTGTGAAGTATTTTAAAGCAAATCCCAGGCATCATGTCGATTTTGCCCTGTATATCCAGTGCATATCTCTAAAAAATATGCATATTTTCTAACATAACAAAAATGCATATTTTCTAACATAACAAAAATGCCATTATTGTACCTAATGGAATTAGCCCATATATCAGCCCATATATCAGTTTCCCCTAAACGTTTTTAAAATACCTGTTTTTACAATTAGATTGTAAGATTTAAAATTAAAAGGAAAAAAAAAAAGAATGACTATGAAGTGACCACTCCTTAAGGAATTTCTGTGATTTCTACTAGCTATTCTTATAATCATACAGTAAAAAAAAGAAAACATTTGAACTCTATTGATTAGTAGAGAAAATTCAACCCAAGGGAAATTATACTCTTTCTTCCTTGAGACACTTTAATGATGAAGTTTTAAAATCACGATAAAAGCCATTTTGCCCTATTTCTCATTATTAGTTATTCTCCATTGTCTAGGCCATAATACCCATACCTTAAACCAATATTTGCCCTCACGGCTTCCACACACACTCAGTACATGTGTATCAGTATATCTCATGCACACATACATTAGAGGTGGGTGGGAGTTTATGGCTCGTATACATTAGACATTCGCATGTGTACTTGGTATTGTGACATCAAACAGCTGAAATTCTGGAAGAGAAGCCTTTAATTTCATTCTTTTTCTCCTCAAAGAAATGGAAAAGATCAGAGGAGCCTTGGACAAAAATCTTAGTTTTATACTCCTGATCTTTAGGAAATGCAAAGAAATATGTCAGAGGGAAGCAAGTCGAGGCGTTTCCCGCGGGAAATGCAGTCTGCTCTCCGAGGTCACTCGGGACTGTCGACCTCTGACCCCAGCCCACCTGTAGGCCAAAGGGCCGTGGCTGCTGGGCACCAGCCCGTGTATGGAAACTATAGGCTAGATGACCCGCGGTCCTCCCAGTGAAGAGGACAGAGTCTGTGGCTGTTTTCTAATTTGGGGACTGTTAGTTTTTCCCTCTTTGTAATTGGAACCATAAAAATAGAATCATTTAGGAGCCTGACCATATAACAGCACTTGAAAAGAGATTTAGGGGGAGGGGAGCGCGCCTCGCCTTAAGAATACATCAAGCTCTTAAGGAAGTAGATTGCGCCATGTTTGAAGATGCAGAGATAATCACTGTGCTGGGAACCGTCTTGAGGGGGGAGGAAGCCGAACAACAAGAGGAAAGCAGCGTTCGCCCCTGATTTCGCACAGGAAGCCCGCAGCACCTCCTGCCACAGGGAGATAAGAAAGCTCCCAGGGACTGTTCTGGACAAGGCCGCTGTTATCAGCTCCAGCTCCACGCTGTCCTCGCTCTGCTCCAAGCCTCTGTCCCTGTCCTAACGAGATTTAGGTCTCCGACCTCCATTTGCATGTGGCATGCCAAGTATAATAGCACAGGGGTATTTATAACCGTCGAAAGGGAAAAACAGTTTCCGGGGTAAGAGTGTACCTGTCAATTGCCCTGGAATTGAAACGAATTAGTTTCGGGCTAGAGATTGATATAAATCAATGAAAAGAAAGCAGCCAATTATGCAGCCAGCACACGGAGTGGGGGCCTTACGTGTGATTCGTCAGTCTCTTTAACTCCAAGTAGGAGCCGCCCGGAGGGCCCTCCCACCCGGTCCGCACTACCAGGCTCCTTCTCTCGACCTGGCATGGGGGAATGTCCCCTCCCTCCGCAGACGCAGACGACATTACTGACCTACACGCCATGGCTCGACTGTCCTGTGGCGATGAACTTGCCCTGTTCCCGTCACACTCATAGGTAGTTGGCTCGTCTGTGACCAAAGCCACAGGAAAAGGCACAGCCAATACTGGGGTCAAACCTGCAGTCTTGACAATGCTGACCGCTGGTCCCGGCAGGCCAGCAAACCAGCACAGGCTACGGTAATTATAATACACACTTCGCGGTCTTCTTCTCAAACGAGGATTGTATTTCCTATGTGGTCGGCGATTCATGTACACCATCTCACTGATCTGTACAGCACCCTAAAAAGTAGGTACTCTCATCTCCCATTTAACGGAGAAGGGAACTGAGGAGTAGCGAGGTTCCCTGCATCGCCCAAGGCCGAACAGCTAGCAAACGGCAGAGGCAGAGTCCAGTCCGTTCTGGCTCATTTCAGAATTGGCGCACTTGACGCTCGCATGGCACGTACCCCAGCACCCATGCGCGACGGTTAGGGCCTCCTTGTACGCAGGAAGAGGAGGCTTCTCAGCACGCCCCACAGACACCATCAGCACAGTGCCGATTTAAGTCACTTTCAGCCCTTTTTCCATAACATGGTTCCAGCTTCTTTCCAAAACTGGCAAAAAAAACCTCATCACACGCAACCAGAATGTGTTGCGTGTCCCGTGTATGCCCAGTCTGCAGTTCGTTTACATTAGCTCTCACTATGATCCCACGGTGTATGAACTTGACTCCCAGTCACCTTTACAAATCCAGCGCAGGAAATACAAGGCACAGGGTGCCCCAGAGGGACCCTTTGTGTTCCCTTGTGCTTGTCCTTCGCGTCGGCTTCGGACAGTTCTGATTTTCGGACTTTCTTCATTCCTCTTGCTTCCCTTGCCCCTCCCCCTACCTGAA